TCTTGCAGGTCTGATTGTGATGGGCCTCCTCCCCCTTTTATACCCATGCGAATTAGGGAGGTGCCTATCTGAGCCCCTTACACAGACTGTCTACTAGTTTTGAACTGAAGTCATGCTTTTCTGCTTATTGCATGGTAACAAATCTGGCCTATCTGTCAAGATCATCTTCCTTATGTTCTACCAATACTGATGGTTGGGTAGTTTAGCATCATTGTGCAGTGCCAATGGCTGTAGGCACAGCACTCTGTCCACACCAGGGGTAGGCAACCTTGGCTCTTTTATGACTTGTGGACTTCAACTCCCAGAATTCCTGAGCCAGCCATGCTGGCTCTGGAATTCTGGGAGTTGGAAGTCCACAAGACATAGAAGAGCCAAGGTTGCCTACCCCTGGTCTACATTTTAAGGTGACAGTAGCCGAATGATGGAAAACATGGCTGACTACAGAATGGTGGAGACAGAGCATGCCCACATCAACTTTAAACAGTCAGTAAGTGATACTCTGAGCATTGGTCATTGTGAAAAACTGATGCAAAGCAGCTCAAGGACAAAACTCTCCTGTCTTTTGATGTCCAATTCAGTTTTTGGGCCAGGATTCTAAACCTACCTGCTATGAACCACTCAACCACTTCTATGAACGATTTAATAATAATGAGCCAGACTTGCAAGTGGTGACTTCTGGCCCTTTCCTTGACTGGCCTTCTGTCGCCAGTCCAGAAAATTCCAAAACCCATTGTTTATCTGAAAAAATTATAAAGTTGCTGGGGCTATGTGGGTTGTGGACTTCAGCCTACGCAGAGTGTGTCAAACACAATTCTGAACAATGTGGTCCTGTGCTAGCATTTTAATTTGCCATATTGACTGTTCCTTCAAGATGTGCAAAGACAATCTATAACAATTCAAATTGCAGTAATTCCACCCCACTAACTTTTGGCCCAATTTGCTTAGTAAAGTAAATTGTGAGCTAAATTCTTCTGATTGCATTATCTAAGCGAAAGCGCCAGCTAAGGAACAAGCCAGGTTCATACTTAATGGATCAACTTTTGACCAATGCATTGCATAACATCCAGCAGAAAAATACAGTGAAAAACTCCCTGTGCTGCCTTCTCTGAGCTGAAGATAGCATTTGATTTAATCCCTAGACAGAGATGTTTTGCAAGAGACTGATAACCAGAACTACAGATCACCATTTACTTTGACCAATTATGGTGTTGCATGAGAATGCCTACTTGCACTGATGATGAATTTTTTCACTACCATTCCCCACTCTAAAGACTATTAAAATAGAGATACATCATTGTCCTTCTTATTTAACTATTACAGGTAATCCTCCACTTGCAATCACAATTGAGCCCAAAATTTCTGTTATTAAGTGAAATATTTTGCCCCATTTTACAACCTTTCTTGCCACAACTGTTACGTGAATCACTGCAGTTGTTAAATTAGTAACACGGCTGTTAAGTGAATCTGGCTTCTCCATTGACTTTGCTGATCAGAAGGTCGCAAAAGGTGATCATATGACCCCAGGACACTGCAACCGTCATAAATATGAGTCAGTTGCCAAGCGTCTGAATTTTAATCATGTGACCGTGGGGATGCTGCAATGGTTGTAAATGTGAAAAATAGTCATAAATCACTTTTTTCAGTGCTTTTGTAACTTCGAATTGATGTAAGTCAAGGACTACCTGTATATCAATCCCATAGTATAGGCTTTCTCAAAATTTAAATCCCCCTCCATAAGCCCTTTTCCATCTTCCTTTCTGCATATGATGTCATCCTTCTTTCCAGGACTCAGTTTGCCCTTCAGAAGAGATTAGAAAACCAGAATAACAGAGTTGGCAGGAATTCTGCTCAAGCAAGAGACCCTATACCCAGACTCTCCAGCATTAGCAATATTCTGCCATAATAATAAAAAAAACCTTTAATTTTACTCTAAAATGAAGGTGGTCATATTCAATAAGAGACGTACCAACTGCCATCATAATTGGGGGGAAAAATGGTGTCCACACTAAACAGATTAAGGGTTTTAAATATTTAGCAATCCACTTTCAATTTCCTAGTACTTGGAAACAACAAAATCTGAGAAATTACAATAGATGTGCCCCAAAGGCTTAGAACATTATAATTAAAAAAAATTTCATTGCAATGGTAATAACTTTGTCCCTGCAGTAGTTAAATTGTTTAGAGTAAAGGTGCTAAGCCTTCTATTTTACAGCATCCACTCTATGCCAATAAAGATAAAATGAGCTCAAATGCAATTAAGACAAAATTCATAAGAACAGCACTTTGCAATCTTCAATCTGCATCAAATAAAGTTTTTTTTTATATTAGAACTAGGCTATTTTATGTGGAGATCTGCATGGTAATGCCTCACTTGAAATACTGGCTGAAACAGATGTTCTGAGGTGAAATCCCGATCCAGTCTATTCTCACAGGAAAGTCCAACTTTTTCCAAAGTCTCAACATCCTTTTTGTAGTATGGTGACCAAAATTGGTTGCAGTATTCAAGGTGTGGTCTTACTAGGGTTTTATAAAGTGGCACTTATACTTCACATGATCTTGATTCTATGCCTCTGCTTATACAACCCAGGACTGTATTAGCTTTTTTTGGCTGCTGCTGCACACTGCTGGCTCATATTCAGGTGATCATCCACCAGGACTCAAAGGTCCCTCTCACAATTACTGTTTTTGAGCCAGGTCTCACCTAATCTGTACCTTTGATTTTTCCTGCCTAAATGTAAAACTTTGCTTTTCTCTCCATTAAAATTCATTAAATTCATATCTATGGAGATTCTCAATCATCTAGGTCATGGTTGTCCCAAAAGTGTTTTTCAAAAGGCAACTGGACTTTCTTGGTTTTTTGTCTTTGAACAAACTAAGCCTAGCAGGTTTCAGCCTGGCATGTAATCTTACATTTTGTTGGTACTTAGCTGTTCCGCTGATGTCAATAAATGTTAGCAAGCATCTAGTCTTATGCAAGCTCTGACAATCCCTTTAAAATATCTATTTCAATAGGCCTTGCCTAATTTATAGGTTCTTATTTTTTTCTTCAATCAGATAAAGATATATTTCTAGACAGGCTTGGAATGAGAGGTCTGTGCGCAAGGTTGAGTATGTTAATCAACCTTGCGCACAGACCTCTCATTCCAAGCATGTCTAGAAATATATCTTTATCTGAGGGCTCTTGTTTGAGGGCAATGCTGTGGTTGAGTTTAAAGAAACATTTTACCTCAACAGATTTTTCAACTTGAACATAGCTGGTTGCGCAAATGCTACACTTACCAAAGGTCAGAAGTATTAAGATTCTAGGGCTGCACTGCATGATGTAAGGGGCACATAGTTGCTATGTCTGTTACCAAGGTCGCAAGCTCAATAGAAGTCAATGGACCCCAGGCTTAGAGGCAAAAAAAGTAAGGCATCAATATTTAGTTAGACCACCACTAATCAAATGACAGTAAAGCAATATATATATATTTTTAGAAACCACAATATATCTCATGAATGACGGTAAAAGTAACAAGGTTTACAAAATATCTTACAAAATATGCAGACTTTGTTTAAGAAAGTATCAGACAAGAAAAAATATTTCACTCGATAAATCATTAATACTGCTTCTTTGGGGCAGTGATGCACAAGGTTAGTAATCATTCATGATGGTGCTGTTCTTTACTAAGATATTTTGCCACCTAAGGAGGTCACTAAAATATATTTCTTATGAAGCTAGGTTGGATATTCCTGTCGTAAGCAGTTCTTTGTATGCTGTGAGCCAGACTGATTTTATCCAAGTTGCTGATGTTGGACAAATAGAAACGAGGTCAGACGTTGACCTTGGTACCAAAAAGAATTTTATTTTAAAAGCAAGTTTTCTGCCTGCAAAGGTTTTTGTTACTGATTTGGGAGTTTCAGACATATTTACTTCGCTGGGCCTCAGTTATAGCAATATAACTTTCTCTTCTGTTGTAACTAATGTATCAGAGAGTCTGAAAACCATAGGAAAAAACCGAACAAATTAAATCTCGGATTCCTTTTGAGCAGAAAGCCTAGAATGATCATACTCAAGTTGGTCCACGAAACTATCTTCAAGCATTCACATAACGTGTTGGATTTCAATGAGAGCTTGTTTACATGACACCCTGACCTAAATCTTTGAGATTGGGGGGGTGGGGGGGTTGCTCATGCAAATCTGCACAAATATTGATAAGTTTAACCTGTGAATTGCACAAGTTTTGATCAGTATCAATTCCCATTGATGATCCGATCCAGACCACATGCAGTATAGCTAGTCCTCAATTTATGACCACAGCTGAGCCCAACATTTCAATTGCTAAGCAAGACAGCTGTTGAGTTCTGTCCCATTTTGTGACCTTTCTTGCCACAGTTGTTAAATGAAACACTGCAGTTGTCAAATTAGAAACACCGTTCTTAAGTGAATCTGGCTCCTCCATTGACTTTGCTTGTCAGAAGGTCGTAAAAGGGGATCGCGTGACCCCGGGACGCTGCCACCGTCATAAATACATGCCAGTTTGCAAGTATCTAAATTTTGATAAAATTTGATCGTGTGATCACGGGGATGCTGCGACGGTCTGAAGTGTGAACACGTTCGTAAGTCACTTTTTTTCAATGCCGCTGTAACTTTGAACAGTCACTAAACGAATGGCTGTAAGTCGAGGACTATTTGTACTATGTGTTTTCCCCCCCATGTGAACACATATTTTGCTTAAGTTTATTTATAATTTCAGCTGCTTTTTCACTATCTCTGTTCATTTTCACAACTTTCCTTTCTCCAGAGTTTTTAACATGAAGGAAGGAAGAAAGTGGCTGGCCACATACAGTATCTGAGCCAGTTAAGCATGTAATTTATAGGAGGAGACCTGGTCATTCTCAGGGTACGTCCTACTGTGTGATTCTCTTTAAGATTGATGACTAAAGCCATAGTTTACTTCCCAAAGCTGCATATGCATTAGGGGAAGATGCAATGGCAGAACGCTTACAGGATTTTTTACCTATTCAGATAGACCCGTTTTTCTGTCAGCTGACCATTCCCGTAGTTTGGATCTTCATAGGGCTCATTCTGTACCACTTCCACACCTTCTCCACGATCACTCTGCTCGTGGCTATGTTTACTGATCATGTACAGCTGTCCAATTCTGTACTGCAATGCAAAAAGAAGGAAAAAGTGTAATTAGGCGATGGATTTATTTATTTATTTATTTTTACAAAATCCTTAAAGGAAACATCTTCATAGTGAGCAGCACATTTAAAAATAATTATAGGAACTACTAACAATGCTAAAAGCCGATTGTTTCAGGTGCAAAGAACCAGGAACACTCGCTGAGTTCAAAGCACAGGGTCTAGGAGATGACCCAGTTGAGCCCGAGGGAGGGGTCAAGCATGTCATCGGTTTAGAGCAGCGGTTCTCAACCTACAGGTTGCGACCCCATTTGGGGTTGATCGACCATTTCACGGGGGTCGCCAAGCAAGGCTGTCCGCCATTTTTTCCCCTTTTCCGGCGGGTGCCTTACCTCCCTTGAGCTGGGCCAGCTGGTGGTTGGCCTGCTCCGTCTCTGCTGCTTGCCAGCTACACCTCAGCCGGCGCAGGGGGCAGAACCACGCATGCGCGGCGCTCCCGGGCAGGGAAAGTCCTCGACTTACGACCGGTTGGGTAGTCCTCGACTTATGACCGGTTTAGTCCTCGACTTACGACCGGTTTAGTCCTCGACTTATGACCGGTTGGGGTCACGGCATTAAAAAGGTTGAGAACCACTGGTTTAGAGTCCCTTTGCTCCCAAGAAATCTAAATCCAGCCCACCTTGAATTTCCTTGACTCTAACCTACTGCCAATTTGGCTTGACCGTTAATAGATCAGATTCTTGTAGAGAGCTAGCATGGAAAAATTTGTACTCGTTTGAACAACCTTGGTTCCTGGTTTCTTGCGTCTAACATAGAAGAGTTTATTACTGCTACTTATACACAAGAATCTGGTCAACTAATGGCCAAAGCTAAAATGGTTCAACAGAATTCATGGGGGTGGGGGGGTTGGACTTGGGTCTCTTGTGGCTGTGCAATGATTCCAAACTAATGACACATTTAACCCTGCCTTCCAGTTCAGCGTGCTCATCTTCTACACTGTGGTTATAATAATACGGTATGTTTGGAAATCCCTTTATACAGAGCCCCCTTAGAAAGCCTTGATACCTATCTAGACAAAATTACAGTGTGATGTATCTTTCATGGTTCCGATAGGATGAAACCAGTTAAAAGAACTTCAAGGCAAGATTTCTTCCTTAAAGAACATTTTATTTGGAAACAAAGTATCGGCACTAGATACAAAGTAACAAATTGCAATTCCTCCGGGCTTTTCTCTCCATCCCCTCAGCCCACCAAAAACCTATCAGAATATGTCCTTGAGTTCACACACTTCTACATTATTATGGCTAGCTAGGGCTTTTTTTGTCATAGAATGCACCGGAACTGAGTTCCAGCACCTTTTTTCAACAGATTTTCCAGAGTTACCTTGAACAAAATCCTAGTCTTTTAGATACACTAAAAATTGAAGGTTTTTTTTTTCAACTACAAAGGTAAACCTTGTAGGGTACGCAAGGTGGGTTATATGACGTGTGTGAGTTCCGGCACCTTTTTTTTTATTTACAAAAAAAGCACTGTGGCTAGCTAAACAGTCAGGCATCTATCCCATCCCCCTTTCTACATCTGAACTCTGAGAGAACAGAAAGGCACCTTAAAAGCAAAAGTAAAAAGGGCTGCTGGTTCTCAGTTGTCAGAGCGACGACATCCATTGTCACAGCGTTGACAGTATCTGTAAATTGTCCCACATGAAATGGCCCCAAGATTATAGGGGGGAGGGTGAGTAGCATTTCAACCTATTGCATATATACACACAGGCTTTGAACTCTAAGTGCAGCCAGCAAATGCTGCACGGATTGTATAAACAGCTCATTTGTCTGCTCAATTCAGTTTGTGGACGCATCACATCTGATCTAGTTGGGACATACTAAAATCTCCAACAAGCTATTGTTTTTCTGGCAACATTATGGACATGGTTTACCATTGCCTGCTTTTACTTGCTGGCTCAGGAATTCTGGGAGTCAAAGTCAATAAGTTGTAAAGGGACCATAGTTGCCCACCCTGACATATAGTTTAAAGCCCTGGGATTTCCTTATAGACGCCACATATTAACCTGGGCATTATAAACTGAAGAAAATAATATTGAAGATATTTTCAAAGGAGTTTGGAAATTCCTTAGAATCTATCTGCAAATAGAAGTCCAAGTTTCCCAAATGTTTCATAACTATTACAGCAACAAAAAAACATCACGTGAAACCAATTGAACCATCTGCAGTAATGTGAAACTCAGTACAATTCTGGGGAGGTTTTCAGTTAAAAAACCATCCATCTAAAATGTGTGGTATTTAACTATTTTCATGACAGAATGTGATTTCAATTTAGCGGAGTGAAAAACATCTTTTAATACAGTTTTTTTTAAGTCTTGTAACACTAGTTCGCTTTGTTGGAATTAGAGACAGCTATAAATATTTGTGTGACTAAACTGGGTACTGTATTTTTCAAAGTTTGTGGTTTTCCATTTTGTTTAGCTTTGTTACAAAATGCTGAACAAAGAGCAAGTATCAAATTGTGGTGTGATTTTCAGTTATGAAAAACTCTGCTGGGGTTGCTAATAATGTAAAAGGGAAAGATCCTGCTACTTAAGATAGAATGAGTAGGGCAAGCTATATAACTAGGCATGTATCCTGGAATTAGGGAGATGCGCATTTCTCAGCGTACTACAACTGAAATTGTATTATTACCCACAACAAAGCTCCACAACACGATCTTTAGGCCCTTCAAGTGTTTTATACAAAAACAAGTTCTTCAGCTGTGTGAACTAACATTTAAACTGTTATTTTTAAACGGTGCTTAACAAGAGCATAAAGGATTTTGTTATAATTAAGGTATTCCCCAGACGACCACTTTTATAGCATAATATTTAAAAGCTTGTGAGTCTTCTGACTCGCAGAGATACTTTTCTTCTTTAAAACTGCATAAACGCAGATTGCCCCCAAAGCCCAGCCTTTCCTCTGTTGAAGCCAAGAATAATTTTACGTCAAAGCTCTGGCTTGTATATTATAGAATACAATACTAAAGTTTCCTCCTCCCTCCTTATCCCAAAAGTAACTGGAAAGAAAAGAAAGAGAAAAAGATTATAGCCTTGACTTTCTGACAAAAAATATCTAGGACAAGCTGCTCTAGTTACGACATCGTCTGTGTCAAGCTTGGGAAATCAGGAAATCCAGGCAGTTCAAGGCAGTTCAAATGAATGCAAAATTTATTGCAAGCTTAAACTCTCTACAAAAATCTGAACTACTAACTGTCAAAGCAAACTGGTGGTAGATAAGAGTCAACAAAATTTAAGCTGGGCTAGACTTAGATCTCTTGTGGGCGCGAAGGGACTCAAGACTGATGACGCATTTGACCCCCTCCCTCGGGCTCAGCCTGGTCGCCTCCTACAACATGTTGAACAAAGGAAAGTCAAAGTAGAAACAGAACCATTTCCTGGAACACAGGTAGTCCTCGACTTACAACCATTCATTTAGTAATGAATGTAACCACAGCACTGAAAAAAGGGACTTATGACTTGTGGGAGATGAAAATATAGCCCCCTCCCCATATAACAAGATGAGGCTAGAGCAAACCTGAAATAGGCCCCCACAGAAGTGATTTGAAGCTCTAACTTGAACTTTATGCTGTTTCACAATACGAACGTACTATTTGTAATCTGCTGAGCTTTGTGCAATATGAAATTGCAAAGTAGATAGTTCTATGTATATTTGGAACATGAGTATTGTAACCGTGGGAGAAATAGGGAACTGAAAAGTAGCTGATGGATGTGGGTTCCAATGTACACGGGTATATGTGGAAAGTAGGTCAGAAGGAAGTCAGTAAAAAGTCAGCAAAGGTCAGCGGACCACCTGACTACAGTCTTAGAACGAGAAAGGGATAAAAGGTTGGGACTGGACCTGATTGATTTGCCATTGGCCTATAGCTATCCTATTGGATTCTGCTATGTCATATGGTCCTCATTGCAACGGGTTATTAATGTAAGGGATATTGTGTTATTATGCTTGCTATGTTCCAAACTATTAGCAAAATAAACCTCTGAATCCTAGAGTAAGAATTATTGTTATTGTGTTGCTGTCTCTTGTCTTTTTCATTGGGTTTTTCCACAACAGTTTTTGGTGTGTTGGCCGGGAAGAGATGGTTGCTGGAAGTGACCTGCTGTCCAACCGGGATTTCTGACCGCTTCCTGGTTTGGGGCCACAGGTAACCAGCCCGCTCTCTCCGAGCACTCACAATCTACTTTGGATCAGAGGCAAGAAAAAGGCCCCTTTCCTTGGGACCTTAGGATAGATAGATAGATAGGGAAGTTGTTGTGATTTAGTTAGTTAGTTAAGCCTGCCCTCCTCATCTTGTTATATGAGGAGGGGGCTATATTTTCATCTCCCACAGACTGTTTTCCACATTTGTGACTATTGAAGCATTCCCGTGGTCACATGATCAAACTTCAGACCCTTGGCAATTGGCATGTATTTATAACAGTTGCAGTGTCCTGGGGGTTATGTGATCATCTACTGCAGTGTTTCTCAACCTTGGTGGTTTGAAAATGTGTGGACTTCAACTCCCAGAATCCCCTAGCCAGCTAGGCTGGCTGGGGGATTCTGGGAGTTGAAGTCCACACATCTTCAAACTGCCAAGGTTGAGAAACACTGATCTATTGTGACCTTATGACAAACAAAGTCAATGGAGAAGCAAGATTCATTAACAATTGTGCTACTAACTTAACACTGAAACGGCAGTGTTTCATTTAACAACTGTAGCAAGAAAGGTCATAAAATGGGGCAAAATTCATTTAACAACTGCCTTGCCTAGCGAAGGAAATTTGGGGCTCAATTGTGCTCATAACTTGAGGACTACCTCTACTTTAGTTCCAGGGAGAGCAGCAATTCCTAAAACAGTCCAAAATGGTTACAAACATCCAAGCAGAGGATAGATATTTCAATAATTCCACATCTCCAATTTATACCAGGCCTATATTTCAAATTTTCTCATGAGAAAGAGAATGAGTAGTAGATCAATTTG